ATGCTCTGTTCTTTCCTTTCACATGCTCAAATTTTGATCCAGCAATGGTGAGGAAATCACACAGTTCTTTTAAGCTTTCGGCAGGCAGTGTACACAAAAGTCCCATTATTTCCAGCTGTAAGGTTTCTACCTCATTTGGCTCCATCTTCTCTGCAGTAGTGACTTAGTGTTCTGTTGTAGCAGTAATTGTTTACTAAACCTTGGTTGTAGCCCTCCTGGTGCCGTTGGTTCACCTCAGATTGCCAATACCCTTGGCTGTAGAAACTCCAACTACCACACAGTCGTCCACTAGATGTCGCCAACCTGGGTAGGTTAAAGTGGGGACTGAATGAGAGCTGGAGATGTCTGGTCCTAGCAGAAGTCAAACCTTGCCTCACTCAATCCCAGCGGTGCCTCCAGAAATGTTACACCCCTGTAAAAGGGAATAATGAAAAAACCGACATGGACACAGTGTTAACTTCTGTCGTTTCCAATGCCGTAATGGACGAGCAGAAGTACCGCGCTTCCCCTGTTTCAACCCAGGCTCGACCAATCGAGACAAGATCAACAAATAAACGCCTAAAACATAAAATCTGAAAAGGCATCACACTCCAAGTGCTGGATACAACCATGCTAGAAACGTGACATTAAACAAAATGCTTTTAAAATGTTTTTAACGGATGCATGTTTTTTTACTGCATCATTCAGTGTCTTTTGAGTTACAAGACCAAAATAATCTATCATTTTATTTAAAGAATTTGTCCTGAGCGATGTCTTCTCAGTAAAAGAACTGGAGAGAGAAAGCTTCAAGGTGTAAACACAGAGCTTTCCATAACAGTTAAATAAATAAACTTGCCTTGCCTTGATAATACCATGGCTACTTTAATAATAATGCTTTGTGGGTACTTTTGAAATGGTCAAGATGGACTAGTGTGAGTGAGATGTTTGTCACAGCAACAGTCAATACCTTAAATGCTAACGAAAGTTAATGTATAGTTTTATCTGTAGGATAAAAGCATCTGGCTATTATATTGTCACTTACTAACACCACACGTTGTGTAATCCATATGAGTCTAAGCTGTGGAGACACTGGTATTCCTGTCTCCTTAAAGCTCCAATCTAATTGATAATTGTACTGTACTTTTTACTTGACCTGTTTTATTTTTATTATTTATTGGACTATGATTCTGCAATAAAGTCTGTCTGGCTGTCTGTCTATTTGCCTGCCTGCCTGTTTGTTTGTCTATCTGCCTACCTACCTTTAACATATCACAGAAAAAATATTTCATCAGGCCCACATTTGAGTTTTCAGTGATGATTATATTTGTAAGAAATAATACAATGACTTTTCAAAGCAATTGCACCTTTAACAAAACTATTTATATAGCCGATCCAAAATTAAATCTGGTGTTGAGGTGATTCTGTACTTTGAATTTGTGCAATTCATATGCAGGACTTACTTTTATACGTCCTGTCCTCCAGCCCGACTACATGTGCTACTTGAGTGAGCAACAGATCATCGCTCACTGTGGAGGGCTTTAGAAGTCACTCGAACTTAATAGTTCTCAGATGGGACTTAACATGGCCAACCCGCCACGGGCATGTGTAAATGGAGTACCGGTAAGTACTTGGTAGGGGGAGGGAGTGGCCACTGCAGGGCCATATGTCAAGCTTTGCTTTGTCTCGTATCCTGAATTTCTAAATTCTGCTTTTGTGAAACTGCACTCACAAAGAAGCTGCCTTGTCCTGCTCAATGTGAAGCAGCTAATAAAGGAATCGTTATCTTTATAGAAGCTTTCATAACCCAGCAAAAAATGTTATCGTTAAGAGTTATACAGTTTACTGTTTTAGTAAATACACATATACGTGCAATGCTCACCCCGGTGGGAGTGGTAAATATGTTATGTAATGAAATAACTTTCGGACTGTCATATATAGGCTGTGGGTTAGAACGACAAATAAAAAGTGACTTGAACTCTAATACTTGTCAAACAGTTGACTCTAAAAACATGTGGAATCAATTCCCATCAACTTCCATTCATAATATAAGATTTAATAAACTAAAATCATTTCATATTCTCAAAAACCCCATCTCATCTCATCTCTGGGTCTGGTCTCTCCGTCTTATACTTTATCCAGGATCAGGTCGAGGGGGCAGCAGTCTCAACAGATCCAAGACTTCCCTCTCCGCAGACAACTCCCTCCAGCTCTGCTTGGCGAAGCCTGCAGCGTGTCCTGGGTCCTTCCAGGGGGATGTGTCTGGAATACCTCCTGATGAGGGGTCCATGAAGCTTCCGAAAAAGATGTCCACGCCACCTCAGCTGACTCCTTTTCGAAGCGGAGGAGAAGCGTCTCTACTACGAGCCTCTCCTGAATAAACAAGCTAATGGTGTTCCCAGCAACCCTCTGGAAAAAGCCCAATTCAGCCCCTGTATCCGGGATCTCGTTCTTCTGGTCATGATACAGATTTCAAGAAAATAGGTGAAGGTGGAGACGTAAACTGACCATTAAATTGAGAGCTTTGCATTTTTGCTGAGCTCTCTCTTCACTACAACAGACAAGTGCAGCGTCTGCAATATAGCAAAAGCTGCACCAATCAGTCTATTGATCTCCTGCTCCATTCCCCCTTCACTCATGAACAGGACCTCAAGATACTTCAACTCCTCCACTTGAGGCATAAACTCTTTTCCAACCCGAAGGGGACAAGCCACCTGTGTACAGCAGAGAACTATGAGAGAGCCAGCAGAACCACATCATCAGCAAAAGACAGGGAAGAGATCTGCTGGTCAACAAACCAGAACCCCTCTGGCCCTTAGCTGCACCTAGAAATCCTGTCCATAAAGGTAATGAACAGAGCAGTGACAGAGAAAAGCCAGGTCAGAATCCAACATGCACCGGGAAGTCCGACTTAATCTCAGCAAAATGGACTACACTCCTGCGCTGCATGTACAGAGACTGAATGGCACCTAGTAAAAGGCACCCGACTCCATACTCCTGGAGCCCCCACAATGCACCACTAAAGACACGGTTAATAGACTTCTCCAGGTCCACAAAACACATGCTGACCAATTGGGCAAACTCCCATGGGCCCTCAGAAACCCTGCAAAGAGTATAGTGCTGGTCCACTGTTCCATGGACAGGGTGAAAACTGCACTGCTCTTCCTGAAGCCAGTGATCAACAATCAGCTGGACTCTCCTATCTAGGTACCTGGCATGGGCCTTCCATGGGAGGCTGAGAAGTGTGATCCCTCTATAATTGGAAAACACCTTCTAGTCCCCCTTCTTATGCAGGGGAACCACCACCCACGTCTGTCAATTCAGGGGCACTGTCCCAGACCTCCATGCTATGTTGAAGAGGTGTTTTAGCTACGGCAGCCCGACAACAATCCAGAGCTTTAAGGTACTCAGGGCAGATATCATCAACCCCTGAAGCCTTGCTGCCATTGTTTTTTGGACCACCTCTGCAACCTCAGCCTGGTTGTTGAACAAATCCATCCCCAAGCACTCCGTCTCTTCTTCCACCATGGAAAGCTTGTCACCCAGATTGAGAAGATCTTTAAAGTATTCATTCCACCATCCAACAATATCCTTTTTCAAGTTCAACAGCTCCCTACTCCAGAACAGTGTTAGCAAAGCACTGCTTATTAACAATGGAGGCAGAGAACATGACTAACTCTGACTCCATGTCTCCAGCCTCCCCAGAATATGGTAGAAGCTCTCCCAGAGGTGGGAGTTTGACAAGCCCTGAATGAGGAGTCAACCAGACGTTCCCAGTAGACCCTCCCTACACACTTGAGCCTACCAAGTCTGTCCAGCTTCCTCTTCTTCCAGCGTATCTAGCTCACCACCAGGGTGTGATCAGTGGTTAGCTCCGCCCATCTCTTCACTCGAGTGTCCAAGCGCGTCCTGAGCATCTGTTGCTTTGCTCTTCCTTTTCTGATCCTGTAGTAGCTGTGGCAGCACAGAAATATGTTTTGCAGCTGACCATCATGCCACTAAGTAAGTGAACCTAACACTAGTCAAGGCAGTGACTTAAAATATATTAATATGTTTTCTCTTTTTGAGAGTGTTTTCTTATTTGGGAGGAAACTTTTTTTTTTGCAATAAAACATAAAAATTGTAACACCAAAATAGACATCAGAACAAGCTGAACAGTCACACCGCTTTTTGAATCACTAAGCAACTGAAACACTGTCAGCAAAAGCCATGTTGAATTTCCTCTTTCTAGAAAGATATCTAAATGATCTGCTTGGCAGGTGGTTGTCCTGTAAAAGTCCAACAGATGGAGACCTAAGAAAAAGGCTAGAAAGATCCCAATTGAGATCTAGCAAACCCTAATATTTAATTCTACACATTTCCAGAACTGTCAGCAAAATTATGATGAAAAAAAAAAACTCTTGTTTTTAGCCAGGAATTGGTTTTAAAACTTCCTCTATCATTTTTAGAACCACCTGTCCATGTATCGTTTAAAATCTTATTTAAATATTACAATTGTTTCGGTAACTCCTTTTTAGCAGCCACTTTATATTTTGTGCCACTACAAATGGTTTTATTAACAATTTATCCAGTTTAAACCAACTGTCTGCAACAAATTTCAGAAAACAGCAAGATTTTTTGTATATCCTCAATCTACAGCCAAATATTCAGTTTCCCCAATTCTTGTAATCAGTGTGGTCTCCTTCTTTAGGTTAGGAACATATGGCTTTGAGCTTAGTTATCACTAATGTGCTGAGGTAAATCTTTTCCTTAGGTATTTCTAACATTTTCTCTTCCATAACATCCATTTTCTATGCTCTACCATATTGTTAAATTAAGGATCCACAAGTCAAAATGTGTTAATGCACACAGACCTGTTCTGTACAAATGTTATATAATCATAGGATAGATGATCTACTCTGAGGGATACAGAGGGAGTACTGCTGAGGCGGCAGGAAGCAGGGGCTTAACTCTAGCTCGAGAAGATATAACTGCAAAGCCTTTCTTCCAACTGCTCATTGTCACTAAAGGTATAGAGAGCAAAAGCATTGAGGTTAGCTTTTTGTTCTTGATGGGAGCTTTGCTGAGATCTAATAATGTGTGATAGTTCTTTTGCATGTTCTTTGGGGCTTTGAACAAACTATATACTTTGGTGGTTATGACATCATGATCATATAAGCTAGTGTTGAGTCTCCTCACAATTCTGTGATGTATTGTGGTGAAAGAGAGGACAGCAATGTGGAGGTCACGCAGTGCTCCAGATCTGCTGAGACAACAGAGAGCCACTCAACACCAGCCGGGGAGAAAATCTCCTGGGAGAGCTTCTTGATAAGGGTAAGCTGTATCTTTTCTGAAAAAATGTTTTACAGATTACTGAGGGAACTTCTATTTATTCTAATATGCCCCAAATAATCATTGTTTTTTCCGCTGTAGGACAATAACAGTATATCTATAGCTTAGTTCTTACATTGAAACTTGATTTGGTTAAATCATTATTTTAAGCTTAGGACTAATGATATCTTATACATATGTATAGCCTTGGCATGTTCTATATATTTGATACACATCGAAAATTATAAAGATTATAAAGATGTACACTATCATAACCCTGTATATATATATATATGGAAAAAAAATATATATATATT